CACACCCTACCAGAGCCAGAGCACGAACCCCCTGAGACGCCGCATGATTGAAATCGGACCGTATGTCTTTGCTGCTAACACTGTTGAACCATTGCACCAAAGCCTGTAAGAAGTGCATCATGTAAGGAATCAAGGGAAATTTACTATCAAGTGTGATTCTCCTGTTCATAGACCTGTATCATCCTTGTCCCCGAAGTGATAAATATTGACTCTCTACTGGCATCCTACCCGCGTGCTGTATTCCTGAGCAACACCCGCAGGGCAGTTACACCCAGTTTACACCCAGTTATGACCCAGTTTACACCCAGGCTACCAGCCACTTTGAATGGACAGTTCAAGTTGATGGCCCATTAAAGAGAACATTTATTTCGGGTTACCATATTTCAACAATCAAAACAGAGGACATGGGGGGGGGGAGCCCCGCCCTAAACCCACCCTAGCCCTGCCCCCACCCGGTCCCCATCCACTCCCTCCCACTTCCCGCCCCCTGACTGCCCGCCTCAGAACCCACAACCCCCCCCAGCTCCTTGTCCCCTGACTGCCCCCTCCTGGGACCCCCACACCCTAACTGCCCCCCAGGACCCCACCCCCTACCTATGCCTCCCCGTTCCTTGTCCCCTGACTGCCCCCTCCCGGGACCCCCCCACCCTAACTGCCCCCCTAGGACCCTACCCCCTACCTGTCTCCTGACTGCCCCAACCCTTATCCACACCCCTGCCCCCAGACAGACCCCAGGACTCCCATGCCCCATCCAACCGCTCCCCACCCCCTGACAGGACCCCCAGAACTCCTGACCCATCCAACCCCCCGCTCCCTGTCCCTTGACTGCCCCCCAGGACTCCCCTTACCAACTTCCCCTTTCCCCTGTGGGTGCTTGACCCCCGCTTCTGCCCCTGGCCCTGCCCCCACTCCACCCCTTGCACGAGGCCCCGCCCCAGTCCCGGAGCACCCACGGAGTCGAGCTTGGTACCCACCACCCTGCATTTCAGTTACGAGTCTGGATTTTCATTTAAATTCCATTCCAAGAAGACCAAACAGCAAAATACCTCGACTGTCATTTTAAATTATTCGGCACTTTCACACGGGCAAATCAGACATTGTTTGCCACTCGTTCTCAAGCAAAGTACGGTGGGAAAAGATCAAAGTTAGAACCAATAACTAACATGTTATTTGCCCTCAAAGTCTTTTTTAAGAGGTAAGTAAAATATTTTTCATTATGAACGGGCCTGGTAAAAGGCAACTAGCTGGGCTATCGAGGCAGGCTAATTTTCATGACCATTTTACAAAGGTACTGGTAAGGCCCTGAAAGGGGAGGGATAGCTCAGTCGTTTGAGCATTGGTCTGCTAAACCCAGGGTTGTGAGTTCAATCCTTGAGGGGGCCATTTGGGATCTGGGGCAAAAATTGGGGATTGGCCCTGCTTTGAGCAGGGGGTTAGAGTAGATGATCTCCTGAGGTCCCTTCCAACCCTGGTATTCTATGATTCAATCATCGTTGCAAGCCATTTTCCCTCTACCTACAACCCAAGGTTACCAGCAGATCTATTTAAGACTGAACGTCAGCATAGCAAACCCGGACCCTTTCCCCTCAGCGTAGTCGGTTCACGCTTCCTTCTTCTTTCCTCTAATAAATGAAGTGACTAAATTCAAAAGCCCATGAATAATACTTGAGACCCCAAGTGGTTGAAGGCAGCTGCCCAGCTGAGTCCCAGAGTCCTCGATTAGAAGGAGCCTCCATGCTATTGCCCAGCACGGCAAGGAGGAGCACGGGCCACTGGCTACACAGAGGTGAGGGACCTGCAGCTCCCCCCCGGGACACGGCTGCACCCGGCGACCTTGCCACAGCCCAAGGGCTGGGCCTGCCCCGCATCCGTCCCCAAAACACCCCAGGGCCCTGCCGCTCCTCGCCAGGTGCACCGCGATGGCAAGCGAGAGGGACGGTCTCTCATGCACGCCCAGGCCCGCTCCCTATCCTGCGAGGTGGTGATTTTTGTCTCGCCCCCCCCCCCCGATGCCCGAACCAACACGTGTGCTCAGGAACGCTGCCCAGGAGGGGCACAAAGGTCTCCCCTGCTTCTGCTAAAGTAAGTGTAAGCGGGGCGGGGGTGTGACGAGTGGGACTGTTCTTAATGTTTCCTCTGAATAGTGTGGGGGTGCCTCAGTTTCCCCCAGGCAGTTCTTAAGTATCTAGGGGGTGGGGTAAGGGTGTATGATCATTGCAGAGCCCTAGAGGGCAGGTGTGTGCAGGAGTCTGGACACAGAGAATGGCCGACACCCTGTTTCCTGGCAACTGATGGCCTGGGCCCTTCCCCCCCCTGCAAGGTGAGAGCTGAAGGGTTGGAGAACAAAGGAATCAGGTGACCACCTGGCCCGGGAAAGGAACAAAGCCCAGAGGAGGAGGGGCTGGAGGGAGTTTCAGTTTGGGGCTGGCTGGGACATGGAGTGAAGTGCAGACGTGGTTGTCTGGCTCACTGCCCCCCAAAATGGACCCAGCTGAGGGGTCCCATTCTCTGCACCTGCAAGCTCTGTTTTAGACCATGTTCCTGTCGTCTAATAAACCTTCTGTTTTACTGGCTGGCTGAGAGTCACGTCTGACTGCGAAGTTGGGGTGCAGGACCCTCTGGCTTCCCCAGGAGCCCCGCCTGAGCGGACTCGCTGTGGGGAAGCGCACGGAGGGGCAGAGGATGCTGAATGCTCCGAGGTCAGACCCAGGAAGGTGGAAGCTGTGTGAGCTGTGTGTCCTGCAGACAGGCTGCTCACAGAAAGGCGACTGCCCCAGAGTCCTGACTGGCTTCATGGGGAGCAGTTCCAGAGCATCGCCCAGGGATTCCGTGACAGGGGGAACTTTCCCGGCTTGTACATGACGCCGGTGAAGCGGGCTGGCGAAAGGATCCGAGTCCTCGCTCCCACTCCCGTTACCCAGAGCCCTGCCTGACCACGAGGGCTTCCCCTTGTCGGGTTAGGAGGACTCTGCCCCACAGGAGAGTCCTCCTAACCCCAACAAGCCTGGGCCCAGGATTCCTGGGGGGCTTGACCCCCCATCCTCGTCGTGGTCACCTAGGGCAGGGGCTAGGGTGTCCCCGCTCCAGGTGCCCGCTCCGCACTGGACGCTTCCCTGACCCACTGATCATCACACACAGTTCAAAGCACATACGATTTGTTAAACAGCAAACAGTTTTATAAAAAATAAAGAAAAGCCGGGAAAGGTGAAAGGAAAACCCGTCGCCCCGCTCTGTGGCCCGGGGACGTCACAGCCAGCGTCTCTGGAGGGTAAGGGCAGTTCACAGTCTGTCCCTCACATGTCCCAGGCCTCCTTCCTCAGAAGCAGTTCTGATCTCGGGGCTGCTTCTCTGGTTCTCTCTGGCTTGCACAGCTCTGTGCCCCAGCTTAGCTTGGGCCCCCTCGCTCCTCAGCTCGGCCCCACTCTGGCCCAGGTGATTCCGGCTCACACGGGGGACCCCCCGGCCTCCTGATTCCCCCATTAGCCTGCCTGCCCTGTCCATCAGGCTGACCTGGAGCATTGGCCTCTCCCCATTGCTCCTGGGGACTAGATTAAGGGCCTGGTTTCCCGTCAACCCTTCCCCTTCCTTTTGGTACTGGGAGGTAGCCAACATAAGAACGGCCAGGATGGGCAGGGATGGCGTCTCTAGCCTCTGTTTGCCAGAAGCTGGCAATGGGCGAGAGGGGCTGGATCAGTGGGTTAACATGGTGCATAGCTGATTCTTAGCTATGTGATGTCTGGCAACCCGAGCTCTGCTTCCCAGTCATCGGAGCGATACTTGGATTCCTCCAGGGTTGCTATTTACTGAGCGACGTCTAGGGTTAACTCTTTCCCTGAGTCATCTCGTCCCTGCGCTACAAGAGAGATGAACAGCCTCTGCCTTGCCTTTTGAATGGCCACAGGTCCGGGAAGCGTTATTTTACTGTCTTATTCTGGTGCCTCAGAGCCCGAGTCAGACCCTGGCCTAGGCGTTGCACAAATAGAGTCCTGAGGAGGAGGGATTTGAAGGTGGCTACTGAAGTACCATTTTGGATGTTTCCAGGGAGTTCTTCCCGAGCATGAGAGGTAGCCTGGGAGATGCTGGAAGGGGCTTGTGTAACGATGCTGGCTTTGGTGGGACACTTCTGAGAGTATCAATTCAGGACAAATTGCTTAGAGCAGGGCAGTCACAGCCCAAGGCTGGGGTTTCTCCACCTCTAAGGCAAACCCAAACCAGCCAGTCAGAGAGGACTTCGGTTTACCCCACTGGCTGACCACAAGTCATACAAGCAATTCCCTCAGACCCTCCAGTTTCCCAGTCTCACCACCAGTGCCCCTCATTATGGGGATGAATGGTTATGAAAACCAACACCCCAGCAAAAGAACAAAGGTTCTCCCGATCCCAAAGCACATGGCATGACAAAATTTTAGAGTTCTGTCCATAGGCCATGTCCCTGCAGGCCTTGCTGAGTCCCCAGGCGTGTCTGCCTTCTCTCAGTGGGTCAGTTGTGTCGCTGATGGTCCTCAATGGACCATCAGGCAGGCTAGGTGGTGCTGATGACAAACTGTCTGGGGTGTCCCCCAGAAGCACAGCACAAGTAACAAGCGGGCAATCACGTGCTATCACGTGCCAACCAGCGGCATGAATGAGCGATGATAAGTTGGGTGGGAATCAGCTGGGACGGGCCTTGGAAGTGAAGGCAAGCCGCTGGTGTTTGACGCGATAGGGAAAGGGGAGGGATTCAAAGAGGGGGGTGACCTGGTCCACGTGACGGGCTAAGAGAAGGATCTTTGCAGCAGCTCTCTGAATGGATATGAGCAGGGCGAGGTTGCATTTGTCAAGGCCAGGGAGAAGGATGTTGCTGCAGTGCATGTTACCCGGGCTTCTTTCAACCCAAAGCTCTTGGTAACTTTTACTCTGTGCGAGGTGGTGTCAGGAAATCAATCGGGGAGACACGGCCGTCCGGCCGACCGATGGCTGGCACAAACAGGACAACACAGGACTTCTTTCACTTAAAGCTAAACTTTATTTAGTCTCAAGCACTTACAAACATCCGCAACAGGTTAGTAAAGTCAGGATGGGTAATTAGATTCAAAACTTAGAGAATCCCTCTTGGCAAAACCTTAAGTTACAAAAAGACACAAAGACATTGCTTTCAGCACAGCTTAATTCCTCAGCCATTTAAAGAAATCAGAATCTAACGCATCTCTAGCTAGATTACTTACTAAATTCTAAGACGCCATTCCTGTTCTGTCCCCGGAAAAAGCATCACCCAGACAGACCCTTTGATTCTCCCCCCTCCAGCTTTGAAAGTATCTTGTCTCCTCATTGATCATTTTGGTCAGGTGCCAGTGAGGTTATCCTAGCTTCTTAACCCTTTACAGGTGAAAGGGTTTTTTCCTCTGGCCAGGAGGGATTTTAAAGGTGTTTACCCTTCCCTTGATATTTATGACACGGCCCCAATAGACATACATCCTGCTCTTCTAAAATGCATGTATCAGCAACTTCAGCACAATTCTTATCGGGAAGGACGCAGGGTCAAGCTGCCCTTTCTGTGGCACCCAAAACCCCCTCCCCTCCTGCCTTGGTCAAGCTGAGACTGCTGAATGGCCAATTTACAGCCTGCTGACTTGGCTGCTTTTAGCAATAAGCCATAGTGGTTTCAGACACTTTACTGGTTTGCCAAAATCTCCTCGTACAGTCCACACACGAGATGAGGAGAGCCTGGATGAGAGTTCTGTCCATGGTGGATGGACAGGGAAGCCTGGATCTTAGAGATATTCTGCAGAAAGAATCAGCCAGATTTAGGCATATCCTGGATGTGGAGACCTAGAGAGAGTCCAAGTCCAATATGACACCCAAATTATGGGCCTGAGTGACAGGCAGGATGAACTATATGAAAAGTTTATTCAGTGAAAAATGCAGCTTCAGTTGAACTAGTCACGACGTCGACGCAAATTTGCTGACCAGTTTTTGCCAAAAAATTCTTTGTCAGGACTTGGATGCCATTCACAGAATGGAGGAGGTCTCCTTATCACTTTGATGCTGGTGGTTAGAGTATTCACCTTGGATATGACAGACCCAGGTTCAATTTCCCCCTTCTGCTTGAATGTGGAGGAGGGATTTGAACTTAGGGAGGTCTCAGGTCTCACATCCCAGGGGAGTGCCCTAACCCCTGTGCTAAAAGATAAAAGAAGGATAGCTCCTTTTCCAGGTGTCTTGTGAATCTAGCCTTTTAAAAATGCTCGGAACATCTTGTTTCAGGTCAAATGTTCGTTTAATCCAAAATACATTTATTTATTTATTTGCAATTTAGCAACATTTTCAATTGGACTGGATTCAAATCAATTTTTGTCACTGCCAGTGACCTGAACAATCAGTTATTTTCCCAGTTCTAATTCCCTGGAGGTTTTTGTTTGTTTGTTTGTTTGTTTTTTGCAGCCTTCTTCTAGTTAAAATCTGGCTGACCCTGCCGCTTTAAAACAAACTGGCAAGCATTTTAAAAAGGTATGCCCCCCATCCCAGCACTCGGCTCTCATAACGGGGTTTGCCATCCTCCAGGTATACCATGAATTCATTCTCCCCATTCCCTGATACAAAATGAAACTCCTTTTCCTCATAGCAGATCACCAGCCTTGCGTTCCCTTGTATGAAGCTGGGTTCTTGGCGAAAATTCTCCAGGGCATGTTCAAAGCAGGTTCTCAGCTCGCTGGTCATGCGCTCCTGGGATTCCAGCCTGCTCATCGCACTCAGTAGGTGTCTGATACTCAGCAGTTCTGTCTCGGGGGGTGACGGACACAGGTACCTATCACTGTCCCTTTCTTTTCCAATATACGGGGGTTCTCCATTGTGGCAGAAGACAAAGATCTTGTCTTCTCCATCGCTGTAGAGATATTTCAGGTCTTCCTGATTGCACTTGATCACCTTCTTGGCGTCGTTCTGGACAAACTCGCGTTCTTGGACCATCTTCAGCACACCGTTGAAGTGGGCTCTCAGCTCCCTGGTCATCTTCCCCTTGGACTCCAGCTTGCTCCGCATTTGCAGCAGGTTCTCTACGCTCAGAGGTTCCAGGTAGCAAGATTTGCTGACAGGGGAAGGCCCCTCCATCCTCCTCTTCTCACAGCTTCCGTCTCCCTCCCTAAAGAACAGAGCAGCTCTCCCGCACCAGCTCCCTGAAGATCTAAAAGAATCAAATAGATTAACAAATAAATCATTATCCAGGGCCCCAAACTTGAACTACAATTCAGCCGGGGCGGTAAGAAAGGAGGGAGTTAGACACCCAACTTCCATTGAAGGCAACTCCATTTGGTGCCTTGGGAAAACCCCTCCTGTATTTAGTCCTAATCTAGCTACACAATTCCAAGACTGTTGCTCTGTGCACGGGTCACTCTGAAGCCTAGATCCTCTGAGCCAATGTGAAGCAATGGAAGCTGCTACCAGCATGGTTGAGGCTATTTTTGTTAGACTATCACCAGGTGCAGTCACCCCTGACGTTCACCATCTGACACCTTCCTGTTTTTAGAGGAGCAGCCGTGTTAGTCTGCATCCGCAGAAAGAACAGGAGGACTTGTGGCACCTTAGAGACTAACCAATTTATTTGAGCATCAGCTTTCGTGAGCGGCAGCTCACGTCATCGGATGCATTCAGTGGAAAATGCAGTGGGGAGATTTATATACACAGAGAACATGAAACAATGGGTGTTATCTTACACACAATGCCATCCACAGCCTCAGAAACAACTCTGACATCATAGTCAAAAAGACTGACAAAGGAGGTGCTGTTGTCATCATGAATAGGTCGGAATATGAACAAGAGGCTGCTCGGCAGCTCTCCAACATGAGTTTCTACAAGCCATTACCCTATGATCCCACTGAGAGTTACCAAAAGCAACTACAGCATTTGCTCAAGAAACTCCCTGAAAAAGCACAAGATCAAATCCGCACAGACACACCCCTGGAACCCCGACCTGGGATATTCTATCTACTACCCAAGATCCATAAACCTGGAAATCCTGGGCGCCCCATCATCTCAGGCATTGTCACCCTGACAGCAGGATTGTCTGGCTATGTAGACTCCCTCCTCAGGCCCTACGCTACCAGCAGTCCCAGCTATCTTCGAGACACCACTGACTTCCTGAGGAAACTACAATCCATCGGTGATCTTCCTGATAACACCATCCTGGCCACTATGGATGTAGAAGCCCTCTACACCAACATTCCACACAAAGATGGACTACAAGCCGTCAGGAACAGTATCCCCGATAATGTCACGGCTAACCTGGTGGCTGAACTTTGTGACTTTGTCCTTACCCATAACTATTTTACATTTGGGGACAATGTATACCTTCAGATCAGCGACACTGCTATGGGTACCCGCATGGCCCCACAGTATGCCAACATTTTTATGTCTGACTTAGAACAACGCTTCCTCAGCTCTCGTCCCCTAAAGCCCCTACTCTACTTGCGCTATATTGATGACATCTTCATCATCTGGACCCATGGAAAAGAAGCCCTTGAGGAATTCCACCATGATTTCAACAATTTCCATCCCACCATCAACCTCAGCCTGGACCAGTCCACACAAGAGATCCACTTCCTGGACACTGCAGTGCTCATAAACGATGGTCACATAAACATCATCCTATACCGGAAACCGACTGACCGCTATTCCTACCTACATGCCTCCAGCTTTCACCCTGACCACACCACACGATCCATCGTCTACAGCCAAGCTCTGCGATACAACCGCATTTCCTCCAACCCCTCAGACAGAGACAAACACCTACAAGATCTCTATCAAGCGTTCTGACAACTACAATACCCACCTGCGGAAGTGAAGAAACAGATTGATAGAGCCAGAAGAGTTCCCAGAAGTCACCTACTACAGGACAGGCCCAACAAAGAAAATAACAGAATGCCACTAGCCGTCACCTTCAGCCCCCAACTAAAACCCCTCCAACGCATTATCAAGGATCTACAACCTATCCTGAAGGATGACCCAACACTCTCACAAATCTTGGGAGACAGGCCAGTCCTTGCCTACAGACAGCCCCCCAGCCTGAAGCAAATACTCACCAGCAACCACATACCACACAACAGAACCACTAACCCAGGAACCTATCCTTGCAACAAAGCCCGTTGCCAACTGTGCCCACCTATCTATTCAGGGGACACCATCACAGGGCCTAATAACATCAGCCACACTACCAGAGGCTCGTTCACCTGCACATCCACCAATGTGATATATGCCATCATGTGCCAGCAATGCCCCTCTGCCATGTACATTGGGCAAACTGGACAGTCTCTACATAAAGGAATAAATGGACACAAATCAGATGTCAAGAATTATAACATTCATAAACCAGTCGGAGAACACTTCAATCTCTCTGGTCACTCGATTTCTGATCTCAAAGTGACTATCCTTCAACAAAAAAACTTTGAAAACAGACTCCAACGAGAGACTGCTGAATTGGAATTAATTTGCAAATTGGATACAATTAACTTGGGCTTGAATAGAGACTGGGAATGGTTGATTCATTATAAAAAGTAACCTATTTCCCCTTGTTTATTCCTTCCTGCCCCCCACTGTTCCTCAGACGTTCTTGTTAAATTTGTGCTGGAAATGGGCCACCTTGATTATCATACACATTGTAAGGAGAGTGATCACTTTAGATAAGCTATTACCAGCGGGAGAGTGGGGTGGGGGGAGAGAAAACCTATTGTCGTGATAAACACCCATTTTTTCATGGTCTGTGTGTATAAAAACATCTTCTGTATTTTCCACAGTATGCATCCGATGAAGTGAGCTGTAGCTCACGAAAGCTTATGCTCAAATAAATTGGTTAGTCTCTAAGGTGCCACAAGGCCTCCTGTTCTTTTTACCATACACACTGTAACCAGAGTGATCACTTAAGGTGAGCTGTTACCAGCAGAAGAGCCGGGGGCGGGAGGGGAACCTTTTGTCATGATAATCAAGGTGGGCCATTTCCAGCAGTTGACAAGAACCATTTGGACTTTAGGTATTACAGTCACGTGACTTCACGGCACGTGTCTATGCCGTGGCCTGAGGCCTAGACCGTTGCGGTAACAGAGGTAACTCAAGCAAACATTCCACAAAAGAACAGCCAGACTGGCTGAGACCGATGGTCCATCTAGCCCCGTGTCCTGTCGCTGACAGTGCCAGGTGCTTCAGAGGGAATGAACAGAACAGAGCAATTATCAAATGACCCATCCCCTGTCATCCAGTCCCAGCTTCTGACAGTTAGAAGTTTAGGGACACCCAGAGCCTGGAGTTGTGTCCTTGCCCATCCTGGCTAATAGCCACTGATGGACCTGTCCTCCAGGAACTTCTCTAGTTCTTTATTTAACCCTGTTATAGTCTTGGCCTTCACAACAGCCCCTGGCAACGACTTCCACAGAGTACGTTCTTGTGTGTGTTTTAAACCTGCTGCCTATGAATTTCATCGGGTGACCCCCTGGTTCCTGTGGTATGTGAAGGGGTAAACGACACTTTCTCCACATAATCCATGATTTTACGGCCCTCTGTCACATCCTCCCCTTAGTCACCTCTTTCCTCAGATGACCCGTCCATGTCTTTTTTATCTCTCCTCGTACGGAAGCCGCTCCAGACCCCTCGTCATTTTTGTTGCCCGTCTCTGCACCTTTTCCAATTCCGATCTACCTTTTTTGAGATGGCGTGACCCCATCTGCATGCAGCATCCAAGAGGTGGGCGTCCCATGGATTTATAGAGAGGCAACACGGTATTTTCTGTCTTATTCGCTATCCCTTTCCTAATAGTTCCCAGCATTCTGTTGGCTTTGTTGTCTCCCGCTGCACACTGAGTGGATGCTTTCAGAGAACTCTCCACAACGACGCCAGGATCTCTCCCTTGAGTGGCAACAGCTCATTTTGATCCCATCATCTTGTTGGGGTTATGTTGAGATTATGTTTTCCACAGCTCGTTCGTACAACTCACCGCAAGGGCCCCTTCCCAGCCGCCGCCCCGGTACAACTCATCACAAGTGCCTCATTTTCAGAGATAAAGCCCAACAACAAAAAGCCACAAAAATCCGGCACGCCACCCATGCACAAATGTGTGACAGCACAGGGTTTTACTGATGAGTTTCAGTTCAAAAGTCCTAATCAGGAATGTTGAAAGACACACATAATCCCCCCTTCCCCTACCCGCCCCAAAAATGCCACCATTATTTTAACCACTCAGGGAGGGGAGTGGGGACGAGTGGTTAGAGCGGGGAGGCCTGGGAGCCAGGACTCCTGGGTTCTATCCACAGTTCTGGGAGGTAAGAGCCATGCTTGGTTTGCTAGCGCTGTGGTTAGCTTGGTGCTGGCTGTGTGATTCGCTTTCATATTTGACTCCTTAGAAGGCTGCATTTTAAAAAAAATAAATAAACAAAAGCAAGCCACACTGCAGGCAGGGCATTTGCCACAGACTTTGGATCTGTCTTTTGCCATGGGACACACAGGGTCTTGGTTGTTGTGAGCCTGTTACAGCATTAACTCTGATTAAATGGTGTTAAGCATCATAGCTCTCTTTCCAACCGTGGATCTCTGTTGATTTACGCCACCCCCGACACGGCGTTCTTTCCGCTATCAGGTTATGCCTTATACAAATGCTGTGCTAGTCTCTCTTTCATACATTCATAGATTCCAAGGCTAGGATAACACAGGCCAGAGAACTGCCCCACAATAATTCCTCTTTCGATCAGAGCAGATCTTCTTTGAAAACTTTCAGTCTTCATTTAAAAATGTCCAGTGACGGAAAATCCACCATGACCCTTAATAAATCATTCCAGTGGTTATTTATCGTCCCCATTAACAATTCCTTTGGTTTTGAAATGGGGGAACGGAGTAAAATTTTCACCGTATTTGTTCCGACAGATGATCAATGCTAAATTTTTCCCCTCAAAAACATTGTTGTCAAGAAGTGCTGTTTCACTGAACATGAAAATTTTGGTAACCGACAGTTTGCTATTGTAAAACCAAGTCTGATGGAAACGTTAATCAAAAAAACAAAACAAAACAGAATCTGTTGGCTCTTTGGGGTAGTTTTTCTTCTCGGCTTTTGACACCTTTGGTAAGGTCACTGATCCTGTTTTGTGCATGTGTGTGATTGTTCAGACACCATGCTGCTTCTAGCCTCATTTTTATATATTCTATCAT